CATATATAACAATAAATATAAAAATATAGCCCTAATAAGTTAATATAATAATAATAATAATAATAATAATAATATACAAATATTAAATTAAATGTTTCATGTTAATAAAAATGTTTTATCCATTTTTTATAATCCCGGGATGCTATGGTCAAGTAGGTTTGTTTACGCATTAAACTCGTGGCCACGAGAAAAATATGTGTTCCCTCAACATAAGAAGTCGTGGCCACGAGAAATGGATGTCGTTCCCTCAACATAGCATCTCAAGGCCACGACATAAGGATGTCCTTACCTCGACAAAATGATCTCGTGGCCACGACATAATATCACGTTCCCACGAGTTAATATGACGTTCCCTCAAATTAATATCTCGTGGCCACGACAAAACTAAGTGAACCGAACATGTCACCTTACGGGCACCATACTTTTCTTTTCTTTTCTTTTCTTTTCTTTGCATGTGTTCATTGTTGGTCATTACACTGTGTGCATAGCTCTACAAATTCAGAAAAATCATTTCTTAAATATTGTGTTTAGTTTGGGACGCGGAAAATGCTGTTGATCACTGACATGATCAAGGATGAAAGAAAAGGGAAAACAAATGATAAGAGAAAGAAATGCAAATGCTAAGCCGCTGTGGAAATATAATACTCCACAGTATAGAACAGGGGTGACAAACTCAGTTCCTGGAGGGTCGGAGCCCTGCAGAGTTTTGATTCAACCCTAATTAAACACACCTGATTCAACTAATCAAGTCCTTCGGGCTTATTTGAAAACTACCTGGGATGTGTTTTGGAGCAGGGTTGGAACAAAACTCTGCAGGGCTCTGGCCCTCCAGTTCTATACCAACACAGAGTAAAATGTGGACATGTGAGAACGAGGAAGAAAAATGTAAAGGGCTTTTGTTTAGAGTAATATACAAATAAAGTGACGTGCTGGATGACGGATGAGAGCAGATATAATAATCAAATAGTTTTAAGCTGCAGAAAGAAACATCAGACTCAGGACAGAAACACACGACTAAAGTAAGAACAACTCACATCTTCATTCTTTAACTAGAATTAGACTTTTGAGATGTTAATAATGTCTAAATGATTGTGAGTTGTGTTCTGCTATTAAAATGTTTTTTTTTTTATTATTACAATGTGTTTTACTCTCTTATTCTTCCTCAGAAATGGAGCAAACTCTATATTTCATTCTTCTTCTCATTGGTGAGTGTTTGTGGTTTTATTTATGGTTTATAGTTTCATTAGGTTTGATCCCGTTATGAAAAGCATTAAAGCAAAGCTTCTCTTTCACAGCTCTCTGCTCCGTATCTGAATGTGTTCAGCGTCAGTATCACTTTATAAATGAGAACAAGACCTGGACTGAAGCTCAGAGATACTGCAGAGAGAATTACACAGATCTGGCCACCGTTGACAACATGAACGACATGAACGAGCTGAAGAAGAGTGTGAATGGTGGAAGTGTTCAGTATATCTGGATTGGGCTGCAGAGGACAGGTCGCAATAAATGGCAGTGGTCTTCAGGTGAACCTGCGCTCTATCTGAACTGGGCGACTGGACAACCAGATAGCAGTTATTGTGTTGTGATGAGAAATGGACAATGGCATGATTTTCCATGTAGTGTTTCCCAGCATTTTATCTGCAACAAGAGTGAGTACAAACACCTAATGTATGTAGCCCAGGGGTTTTCAACCAGGGGGTGAGAGAACCTTTTAATTCAGAGGCAAACACTCGAGAAATTATGAATATGAACTAGCAAATCTTTAGCCATCACTAAGTCTGCTTAGTCCCACTGCTGATCAGTTGACAGAGAAGAGTTGTGGCTTGTCTCTAGTACTAGTAATAATTCTAGTACTAGTAATAATAGTAATAGTTCTTTGTTGTGGCAGTTATATCTGACAAACCTATTGTTAACTAAAAATAAACAGAAAGACAGAGATCAGATTATAATCTAGCAGCTCTAGATTTATATTATCTAGAATATTATCTCATAATAATATTCATAATCATAACAATGTAGTGGCACAATGAAAACAAAGTAAAACCACTAAGTAGCTGAGTAAGGACATAACTTATGTGACACATTTAATCATACTTGATATCTTGATTTTTTTTTTTTATCCACTGAAAACATTTCTGGCAAGTTCTGATGATTCTTTAAACATTAAACTAATTTGGACATTAATGTAAATATTTTTTAATGATTCATTATTATCACTATTATTATTACTGCTGATAAAGAAGAAGGTGGTAGAAGCAGTAGTATTGTTAATATTGTTATTATTGTTGACATAATTATGGAAATACTATTATATACCCTTAAGTACAGTATAGTTTGCATGTTTTGTGATCACTATTATTTTACTACCAGAGTACATCCCCCTACCTCCCTTTTTCTCATTTATTTATTAAGTTCTTCCGATTCTTTTGATCAAGTTTAAAATCATTTAAATAAATCATTATTTATTTTACTCACACACACACACACACACATTGTTTTTCTCTCTTCTTGTTCAAACACTCTGCTTTACACATGTATTTAGATTCATGCAAGTGATATACACATACACAACCTCACACCCACACTCTTGTTTGTTTTTTGTGATGTTTGGTTTGTATTTATGGTGTTGTCTTCCTGTATTTTGTTTTATTATGACATGTCCAAGAAACAAATTTAAGAAGAACATTTAAAAAAAAAAGAAAGAAAGGCACGTGGTCAGTTAGGGTAAAGTTAGAAAATACACAAAAGGAGCAAATAACATAAAATAGTACTCAACTGCACCACCTGGAGTAGACAAGGAAATACAGCCCTACACAAGGGCACTGTTACGGGGCGAACGAGACGAGAGACGTGCGGATCCATATGCAAGACTTTATTTCAAGGCGTGGTCATAAAACAGGCAAGGGTCAGACAACAACACAGGTACAACACAGGCAAGACAAAAGAGTAATCCAAAACAGGCGTGGTCGATCGGCGGCTGACAATATCCAGAGAGCTTGACAAGAGGGGTAATCCGACAACACGAGCAATAATCCAGGCAAGGTGCAAACATAGTCCGAACGGCAAGACAAAAGGGTAATACAAAATACACAGGCAAGAATCCAGACACGGGAAAGCAGGCAAGACAAGACTATGACATTAGCTATGTTTCCATCACCCTGTTTTAATGCGCATTTTGAAGTATCGCATGAGAAACGAGTGATGGAAATGGCAAATTTCGAATAAAAATCCCTTAATTCGCAAAAAAGTTTTTACGCTCGCTTGAGTTGGTTTTTGACTTGTGCGAAAAAGGGTTAATGCGGATAATGGGAGATGGAAACGCATTTTGCGAATAAATCCCGCATGAGCGTTCAAAAAAGTAACGTGACTTTGAGCTATGGGACAGCATAACCTGACTAACCAGCGGACCGCTTTAGTTGCACAGCAACTGAAATGTTGTCATGGTCATTCTGAAGTGCCCGAGCAAAGTCTGTCGTCAAAGTATTTCTGTATAACTGCCTCCCAGAACGGTCTACCACGACTACGTTCCCAAACAGCTGACATTCACCTCCGAAAGCAAGACCGCATTTATTGTATTTCGTCTGCTCACTCAAAGCGCAAGTAATTTGTTATATCTGAGAATTATTATATTCAGTGGCTTCTCTTACTTAGTGATATTTGTTGCCAGTTTATCAGGAAGTGACCATTTTGTTCGCTCTGACTCGTTGGATGGAAACAGTGCTTTTTCGCAAATGTTTTATGCGATATTCCAATTTTGTGCATAAGTTAAATTCGCAACTTTGGATGGAAACCCGGCTTATGACTAGAAACTAAGAACCAGGGCAGAAAACTGGCACCATGATGTAGCTATCACTAGGTGAGCGATAAACGCTGAACAATACTTGGCAGTGAGAAAGAGGAAGTCCATGTCTTATGTAGGGTGTTTGATTGATTGCAGCTGTGTGTGTAATCAGTGCAATGGATGATGGGAAATGTAGTCCGGTGTGAAGTGCAATAGTAGTGTGGTGCAAGAGTCCATCGTAATGAGCGGATGATCTCTGGTGGTGAGCGAACAGAAGGGCAGGCACAGGATTCGTGACAGGCACAAAGGTTAATTGACACTGGCAGGGTGAACGAAAACAAAACAAACAAAAAAGTCACTTTAAATACAAAATGAATATAAAACATTCAACCAATACACTAATGCCACAAATCCTCAGTAGATAATCACTAAACAATATAAAACACACAGTCACTGAAAATACAAAAAGAGGGACATGGCCAGCAGAGGCACTCAGGTTCCACCCCACACAAGTAACAAACCAACACACAACTTGTGCAAATAACGAAAATAAATCCAAATGAGACCCAGGCAAAGCAGCACTTGGTAGATGCTTACAGACACTTACAATACAACAATATAAAACCTATGAGCATGTAAGTCTCTTGTTAACAGAAAGATCTCTTTTTAAAATGAAGAAACCTACCTGGGAACTATTGCAATCAGTCAGTGCACATCAGAGAGAGAGAGAAAAATAGCAAGTGCATCAAATTATCCTGGCGGTCACACATATACCAGTTTTAACATCTCAAACAAGTTCAAGTTCAAACACGATTCCACTACACCTACCGTCATTCACAACAGAGTCCACAATGAGCGGGTACCAATAGTGACGCAGACCAGGCCAACAAACCACTTGAGTTTTTATACTCACTAAAACGGGAACTGATATGCTCAAAAAACTGGCATGAGACCAGCCAATACCCTGCTACAAAAGAAAGAAAGAAAGAAAGAAAGAAAGAAAGAAAGAGAAAAAAACAATATAATGAATGAGACTTATAAGTAACAAACTTTTATCTGCTTTTATAGAGCATGTGTCTATACAGTTACAAACTTTAATGGCACAAAATCCTTACTTTCAAAGCTGTTCAAATACAGACTCAACTATAAATTCATCACACTGTTATTTTAGGGTTTATTTATATTGCGTGTCTGTGTGTTTGTGTTTATTTAGATACTTAAGCATTGCTTTTTTTACCCTGAAAGCGAACACAGGACTTGTCTTTATCAATCAGACGATGAATTGGAGAGACGCTCAGAGATACTGCAGACAGAATCACATTGATCTGGTCAGTGTGAGAAACCAGGATGAGAATGAGAAGGTTAAGAAGATCATTAGTGATAATCACTCATCTGGATCATTTGTCTGGATCGGTCTGTTCAGAGACTCATGGCAGTGGTCAGATCAGAGTAACACTTCATTCAGATACTGGGATCCTACTCAACCTAACATTAATGCAAACTGTACAGCAGTAAAACATGACCCTCTTGGACAATGGCATGACATCTCCTGCACCAACGCATATCCTTTTGTGTGTCATGAAGGTGAGCAGATCCTCACAAAACACACACAATCCATCCATCACCTCCAGATCTCTTAAAGTTCCCGCTACACGTCTGACATGACAAATTCATGCAGTGTTTGTTCTGCATGTTGTTTTTGATGAGTCTCTCTCTAGTTTCTGCTTGTGCTTTGTTTGGTTTCCAGATAAACTGATTGTGATCAGAGAGAATCTGACGTGGTCTGAAGCTCTGAGATACTGCAGACAGAATCATGTGGATCTGGTCTCGGTTCATTCAGAAGAGATTCAGCGTCGTGTGATGAACGTGGTTAAACGGGCGTCTACTGCGGCGGTGTGGTTGGGTTTACGTCACTCCTGCACTGTGGGCATCTGGTTCTGGGTGAGTGGAGAGACCGTGTGCTATCAGAACTGGGCTCCAGGGAACGGCACATCAGAGGAGGACTGTGAACACACAGTGAGATCTGGAGCAGTTCAGTCTGGAGGAGATCAGCGCTGGATCAGCCGTCCTGAAACTGACAAACTCAACTTCATCTGCAGCAGATATTAAGAGTGAAAGATACACAGAGCTTTCATGTAAGAAAACAAGTGCTTGTGTGTTCACTTCCTTTAACTTAATTTTCATTCATCACTTTGTAAAGTAATCATTTTACACTCAGCAGGCAGTCACACCTGAGGGTTAAAAAGGCAGAAATCTTCTGTTCAGATGTTTGTTAATATAGTTCAAATATATTCTTCAGTAAACTGTAATTGAGCTGTAAATTGTCTGATTTGTTCTGTTGAGGGTCTGTTTTCCATCCGGTGGATGAATTTCTGTTGATGCATCAGTGTGATTCCTGTGGGTTTGTTTGCTTCATTTTAAGAGCCTTAATGGCAAGAATTGCTTAACATATTTTTAGCTTTTACAAAACTCTTTCAACATGTACTTTGTTTTATTTAGTAAATAAAAACATATGAGATTATTCTTTAATTCTGTGAGAGGTCATAAGGGCATCATATTTAGTCATCATTAGAGAAAACTTTCTACTTTTATTTTCTTTGTTTAATCATGAGATAATGTACACTTTTCAAAGCACAATTAAATAATGCAATTGAGTATCATATTAATTAATTTCTGTATTATATGTGTTTTAAGAATCTCTGCTAACACTTTATAATAACTTTCATTAATACATTTTTAACAAACATTATTTAATGCCTAATGCAGGGGTGGCGAACGTCGGTCCTGGAGAGCCGCAGCCCTGCAGAGTTTTGCTTCAACCCTAATCAAACAGACCTGAACAAGCTAATAAAGGTCTGAATGGTTAATAGGAAGCTACAGGCAGGTGCATTTTAATTAGGGTTGGAGCTGAACTCTGCAGGGCTGCGGCTCTCCAGGACCGGAGTTCGCCACCCCTGGCCTAATGGATCATTAGTTCATATATATTCACATATATAGAAACGTGTAGAATAATGTGCTTGTTAATGTTTACTAATAAATGTATTAAACATTACCTAATAATTAACATTTCATGTAAATTAAAATGCTTACAAATGTCATTAAACTTCTAAATTAATATGATCAAGCACTTATTGAAAATCTACAAATGATTTTAACAGATGTTATACAATGATTAAAAGCTTTTATTAATGCACAACACTTCTGCTGCTGTTTAGGTGTGATACGGGTCAGGTTAGGGACAGGTTTGGTGATATGGGTAGGTTTAGTTGGGTAGTAGGCTTGGGTAAGGGGTCAACAAGTGTACAGGGGTCAATTTGATAAGGGAACACAATTCAATCTGTTTATGTTGCAGTATCATGATTTGATAAATGATCAAATTGTCACGCGCCGGGCTTGAACTCAGGTCTCTGGCGTGGTAGTTGAGAGATCTACGACTAATCCACGGGAGTGGTAATGTTGGACCCAAACGTAGATTTCTGAGATTTTCTTTGCAAGAAAAATACAACAAAAGGTCTTCTCGGACTGAGGTATTAACTACAGCAAAAATAATGGAAAAACCACATGAGAAAACAAAACTCCACGAGGGGAGAAAACAAAACCAGAGAACAATTACAACCAAAGAAAGAAACTCAGGAAACCTTACTTGGGGTAGCTAGAGAGGCTTTAGCGAGACCAGGCAGGAGACACAGGGCGAAGACTCAAAAACCGAGTGAGGAACCAAGGGAAAAATACACCACTTAAATACACTGGGGAAAACAAGGCGCAGGTGACTTGGATAACGCTAACAAGGCCACACGAGGAAGAGCTAAGGCAGAGGAAAAAAACAGGGGACCTCTAGAGGCACGGAGACAAACTACAGGAGGTAGGATGCTGACAAAAATAAGTATTTTTCTTGAAAATGATCCCCCCC